TTGCCTTTACTACTTCGGAAATTCCGGCGAAGATCGCCGTGTCTGAATCACGGCACCAGGAGTAGATTGGGTGCCAATTACAAGCCAAAGTCAATTGGGTGCCAATTACAATGGAGAAATTCAAATTGGGTGCCAATTACAAGTCAATTGCAATTTGGGAGGAAGTTCAAAGCCAGGAGAAGCCTGGAAAGCAATTGAAGCACCAGGAGTAGATTGGGTGTCAATTACAAGTCAAAGTCAATTGGGTGTCAATTACAATGGAGAAATTCAAATTGGGTGCCAATTGCAAGTCAATTGCAATTTGGGAGGAAGTTCAAAGCCAGGAGAAGTCTGGGAAGCAATTGAAGCACCAGGAGTAGATTGGGTGCCAATTACAAGTCAAAGTCAATTGGGTGCCAATTACAAGTCAAAGTCAATTGGGTGTCAATTACAATGGAGAAATTCAAATTGGGTGCCAATTACAATGGAGAAATTCAAATTGGGTGCCAATTACAAGTCAATTGCAATTTGGGAGGAAGTTCAAAGCCAGTTTGAAGTCTGAGAACACTCAGACGTGAGAATGAAGAAGATGAAGAAAAACTTACAGTAAAAATATTCTCACAAGGAAAAATACTAGTCTAACTAGTATGGGATTAAATTGAAGAATATTTTGAAGTATTTAAATCCCAAAGAAACAAGAACCACTTCAGAGCTGATCAGAGAAGCCGTTCTACATAAAACTGAGACCCAGATATTCCAAGAAACGTGAGAAAACCAGAGGAATATCATATGAAGTTTGGGAACTCATTTGCATGAAGTTGAAGCTCTACAAACGGCTAGCTTATCTTTTCTAACACTTTGCCAGAAGATAAGATAAGATCTTTGACAAAAAGATACAAGAATTCAAAAATGAGATCGTCTCTTTCCAACAGACAAATTCTCATTACCAGCTATAAAAGGATGAAGACTGAAGCTGAGGAAAGCAAGAAGCAAGAATACAAAGAGCAAAGAACATAGCTAAACAGAGCATACAAAATTCAAGAAAGCTTTCCATCTCAAGAGCTTAAACTGATATATTCTTAGTGAGATATACACTCAGAGTGATACAGAGCTTACAAAAGATATATCCAAGAGTGTTAGAATTTTCATCAACTACAAGAGACTAAGCGCATCATTGAAGATACACTACAGAGTCTCGAAGTTGGAAGCAAGACAAAACTTGTTTTGGAGCAAAACAAGAAAAGGGAGGAAAGTAGCACGGAGTTGTGAAATCCTGGATTGTCACACGGAGCTGTGAGATCCGAAGCAACAGTGTCGGAGACACTGGGAGTGATTAGTGCGGGCTTTGTGATCAAAGCACTAGATCACGGGATACATTTCTACCGGAGTGTGGAAGACGGGGGGGGGGGGGGGGGGGGGGGGGGGAAGTAACGCGGAGTCGTGAAATCCAGGGATAGTAGCGCGGCGACGTGAAACCCGAAGCAGCAGTGTGGTGTCACTGGGCGTGATTAGTGCGGGCTTGGTGATCAAAGCACTAGATCACGGAATTCATTATATCTTGGAAGCAAGAAGTGGTGGATATAGTGAATTGCTCTTGGAGATAAGAGCAAGTGGAGTAGGAGGATTACACCACCTCCGAACCACTATAATTGTCTTGTGTTCTTTACTGCTTTCTTTACTTACTGCTCTTTACTTGCTTCTCACGAGATATACTTGTCACAATCCCACACACACACTTTATCTTTATTTATTTCCGTTGCGTACCATACTCTAACAATCTAGTTAAGAGTTTTGGTTTCTCTGTGCCTTAGCAATTGTTGTGCTGTGCGAAAAAGTTTGAAAGTCTATTCACCCCCCCCCCCCCCCCCCCCCATTTAGACTTTCACCTTACCTTTTTTGGGACCAACACTAGCTTGTGCAACTTTAGCAGTAAAATTGTCACTAAGTTAATGGTGGTCAGATTGACTTCTGTTCTTCCTAGATTGTTGTCCCCTTACCAAAGTGGTTTTGTCTCGGGGCGCTCAATCACTGATAATATTTTACTTGCCTCTGAGATGTGCCATGGTATAAAGTTAGGAAATCAGGATGTAGTGCTGAAGCTAGACATGGCTAAGGTCTATGACAGGGTTTCCTGGTTTTTCCTTATTTCGGTAATGCGTAGGATGGGTTTTTCTGAGGTCTGGATTGACAGATGTAGTACAGAGTACATGTTTGTGCACAGGGCACTAAAGTAGTAAAGTTGAGACCTCCATCGCACAGAGCATTGGGGATTATACAGACAATCACAATTAGGTGCGCAGAGCACCTAGGAATCTAGGATCTCATGACTATTAATTCTTGCAATCCAAATATATAGCATATGATTAGACGGGCATGCCCTTAATATCAATTTAAATATACATTTCTGAAATAGAAGATAGGCTCGAAAATTCATATCTTCTTTTATTGTGATCAACCGCATACTTATTTATCATGATTATTGCTAGGGTGTAGTGCGGAGCTTACCATGTATGTAATTTAGGTGGCAATGCAGGACTTGCCTTGCAATATAGTTGGTAGCACGAAGCTTACCACACAATATTATTTAAGTGGAAGCATGTAGCTTGCCATATTATGCAGATAGATAACAATATAGAACTTGCTATGTTGTTGCTTTATTTAAATAAGTTGCAGGTCGGACACTTAACTAATTAAAAAATAATTCTTCCAAAAGGTTGAACCCCAACCCTAAGGACCCTCCACACCCCGACCCGACAGAGCATTTGAGAGGATGATACTTATCTTTCCTTTATAGAATACCAATAATCTACGTCAATCTCATATTCTCCGAGAATTCTAGGCATTCGTTGTTGGACTATTTCGCCATTCCTAAAGGTGCTGAAAATCTCTAGCCATGGTTGTTGAAATTACCTACCTGATAGGATGGTATATATTTTGGAATAACAATGACAATAATAATGCATTACGAGAGATAAAGTTGGACAAAAAACTAGAGATATGACATTTGAGATGGAGAGCAAATTAAACTTGAGTGTTTAAACAGCTCTCGACAAGAGCACCATTGATGAAGAAAATAGATTTTTTCATAAATAAATATGAATAAAATAAAGTGTCAGGAAGAAGAAAGAATAAGTACAACATGATATATAACGTGAAACCAAAACGGTGAAAACTACGAGTCTTTTTAGGCTAAATCAAGTCGAAATCCAATATGTATGTTGTAGCCTGCAGGCACATGTACAAAGGCCGCAGCCATAGTTGTGGAGTAGAAGGAAGAAATATTATGTGTAGAAGACAAATTATTAGGACTGAATGAGCATTCTCCTTCTGCTTGATCCATGAGCCTTATATACGGCTACTAATTTTTTACGCGCTTTGTGCGATTGGGATAATGCCCAATGTTTTTTCTTTTTTAAATAAGTACTTTAAAGTATATCAAGGCAAGATTATACTGAAATTGTTCATGCATAGATAATTGAATGTTAAATTTGCGTATTTAAAATAGGCAATTCTAAGTTTACAAATGCAAGATAATATAGTCAAGATTGATTATAATTGTCAATAAATTAAAATAATTATGTAGGTATGGTTGAAACCAAATACGGGACATAAGGGAGAGCAAATAAAAATTAGGGCATAAAATATTAAATATATACTAATATTAAAGAGCTAACTGCCGATTGCCAAACAAGGACATTGTGAGATAGTTTCTCACCTCAATTTGTTGTGTGATTTGGATACTCTCTTTGTCCACAAATCCCTCAAGTAGTTAATATGATTGGCTTTATTAATTATATTTTTTTTATTTTTTCATGGTATTAATAAAATATATAGCATTATTTTGTATTATAACTTTGATATTTAATTAAAAAATAGTGCACAAAAAAGATAATAGATAATGTAGTGAATATAATCAATTGATAAGTTTGAATGTAAAGAATTTTTACATTGGAGAAATATAAAGACAATATAACTAATAAAATTATTTCTCTTAATTAATTTATTGATAATGAATAATTTTTTTAATAAAGACATTGTAGGGACAATGTAGCGAATATAATCAATTGATGAATTTGAATGTAAAGAATTTTTATATTGAAGAAAAATAAATACAATATAACTAATGAAATTATTTCTCTTATTTAATTTATTGATAATGAATAATTTTTTTTTTTTTTTTAATAAAGGCATTGTAGACACATAATTCTAAATTAAAGAAATGCATATTTATTATATTTTGTTGTAACTACTAAATTATTATTTCTACTATACTAATAAGAGCCCAAGAGAGTTAGGCCTATAATGGGTAGAAAAAATGGCGGTCAAATTTTTTAATTAAATGAATAGCTTAGATTGATCAGATTTTAATTTTTCCTTAAAATTTTCTAATTTATCCTTAATGAATATGATTATCCGTTAATTTTTCTGTTAAATATTATCTTCTCCGTTAATTTATGTTAGTTCACCGTTAACTTACTCATTGATTTCAATAAGAAAGGTCTTAGGTTCGAACCACATCCCAATCAAAGTTGGCATAATTAGTACTCTATTTTACTCTATAATAATTATAGAGTACTAATTATGCCAACTTTGATTGGGATGGGGTTCGAACCTAAGACCTTTCTTATTGAAATCAATGAGTAAGTTAACGGTGAACTAACATAAATTAACGGAGAAGATAATATTTAACAGAAAAATTAACGGATAATCATATTCATTAAGGATAAATTAGAAAATTTTAAGGAAAAATTAAAATCTGATCAATCTAAGTTATTCATTTAATTAAAAAATTTGACCGCCATTTTTTCTACCCATTATAGGTCTAACTCTCTTGGGCTCTTATTAGTATAGTAGATTTTTGGATAATTGCAACTTCCCTCAACTCTTCCTATTTTCATAGACCCCTCCTGATATTTATTTGATTAATAATAACAACAACAACAACAACAACAATAACAATAATAATAATAATAATAATAATAATAATAATAATAATAATAATAATAATAATAATAATAATAGAATCTATTTTACTTCGGTAGTGAATACAAAACGTATAAATTTGTTAGAAATCATGTCTACTTGAATTCTTCTTGTAATGTGTTGTTGCTAGGATGTAGGTAGGTATGTGCCAATGTATCCGAATCCGGCTATAAAGAAAGCAATCGATTGAAGTATGATGTACCAACAATATTGTCTTTTCCCAAGGAAGAGATCATAGCTTCCACAAAATAAGAGATATGCACCAATAACTATCTCTAAAATGTACATTCTGTAGAAAACAAGAGTACAAGAAAAATTCAACAAGTAGTTACAAGAACAAAAATATAAAATAAAATAAAAAATTTCAAGTATCACATTGTTTATAAGTATTTCATTTTCCAATATAAATATTACAATTTTCATCATAAGTAACTCTTCAACTCTTAATATTATATTTGATTTTAAAATATCACATTTTTCATCACAAGTATTAACTTTTTATCGTAAGTAACAATAAAACAATTTATCCGTGATTAGTATTACATTTTCTTCACATAAGTAACTATTCAATTAACCTTAAATATTACATTTTGATTTAAAAGTGTTACATTTTTTCCTCACAATTATTACATTTTTTCTATGGAGTGAGGGTCAAATTGGCCATCCAATTACACAGAAAACTGCAATTGGGTCATCGAACTCAAAATAACTACAATTAAATTATCGAACAATGCAAAATAATGCAATTCAACCTAATCTTACCTATTGACCTGGCCTGGTAACATGCCGACATAACGGTTACCAAATTTAAAAATATTTTACAAATTTTTATTTTAATAAATTTAAATAATATAATTATGTAAAATTAAAAAAAAAAAAAATTGAGTCCTTGTCTTCTCAGGTGAGAAAGTGAGGTTGCCTTCTCACTAGAGAAGGTGATCCAGTTGAATTGCCTTCTCTGGTGAGAAGGCAATCTCGCCTTCTTACTGAAGAAGGCTGGGGTCAAGTGTTTTTCTATAAATATTTTATTTAAATTTATTAAAATAAAAATTTTAATTCTTTTTAAAAAAAAATTAATAACCATCACGGCAGCGTGTCACTAGATTATTTTAGTCTGAATCACAAGGGACTTAATTTTTAGTTTTTTTTTTTATGGTTGAATTGTAATTTATTTTGTAATTAGATGACTAATTTGATGCTTATTCTTTATTTTATTAAACACAATTGATGAGAATTAAATGTCTTGAATAATTTAAGAAAGTTCGTTATATGTGTAATATTACCTTTCTACAATCTTGGAACGAGGTTTTCTATAAGTTTCCTTTGTTGATTTCAACTTTGGAGCTTCTCCTAATTTCTCAGTGACAACCCATTCATTCACTCTGCCTACCTCCAACAACCCGATAAAGGTACCTTTAGCACGGTGTGTGGCCATAACGTTCTCAAAGAGGATCCAAAACGACAACAAGTGAAATGACCTATTATACATGTCCACAAAAAAACATGAAACACATTAAATCAACATTATATCATTTATCCTCCCCTTCAAAAAACGTTATATCATTTATCCTTAATTCCCTATGAACAACATTTGTAAAACTATTAGGAAAAATTTCTTTAGCTACATATTGGGGGTGTTTGTTAATGCCCATGTTTGGTAACATGTTGACTTATTTGACCACTATTAGTTGTTTGACTTGGTTAATCAGTCAATATAACACTACTGGAAATTATGAAATTTTTGACCACATGAAAGTGATCTTAAATCAAGTCGAAAAACTTTTTCCTTTCAAAATAAGTGTTCGATTAATTTACTTTTTCCTTTCAAAATAATAATAATAATAACTTTTCGTAAAAGCTTGTCCAAAACGCTTAAATTCAAAAAGTTGTTCAAAGTCGCTTTTTCGAACAGCTTTTTGAGAAAGTCATTTTCCATGTAATCAACTATCAGCTGACAACTAATTTACTAAACATCTTTCTACAATCAGCTAATATTATCAACAAGTCAAACACACTAACTCAATCAACTACCAACTATTTACCAAACACCCCAAAATATATATAATGGGGGATAAAATATTAAGAAAAGAAAGAATCGAAGAGCAAATTAATTACCTTGGAGTTCCAACACTATTGATAAGGGTGACGATGAAAGGAATATAAATAGCTCCCCATTTTGGAACATCAACCTCCGGGACCAGACAAGTTGTAGGCAACACTACACAGTAAAACACGAAAGTTCCAACATGGCATATCACCTTTCTAACAAAGAAGAAGCTGTATACTATGTTAATCTTCTTCAACAAATTTACGTTCTGCATGTACACACACAAATCATCATTAATTATTATTCTAAATTGTACTACGTAAGACATAATGATGAGAAAGGAGTTAATTGCAGGAACAAACAAACCTTGTTTCTCACTATCTCCATAAACACTTTTCTAAACAGATTTGCAGGGCCACATGACCATCTGTGTTGTTGATACCGCAGTGCCTTAAATGTACTAGGTAATTCACTTTTCACCTGTGACAAAAACATAATGTTAAGACTCTATAATTAAGGATAAAGGGAGGCCATATGGAACTCCCAAGGACAATAAAAATCACTTCAAAAGCTCTCTATACCCTACCGTAAAAAAAAAAAAAAAAAAACCAACAAACCAAATATGTTTACCCTTAGAGAATCAAGGTATAAAAATTTCCAGCCCTTGAGACTAGCTCGAACAGCCAAGTCCATATCCTCAACGGTTGTCCGATGATTCCATCCACCAGCCTCATCAATTGCAGAAATTCTCCAAACACCTGCAGTCCCTATATATAATTTCAACTCAAATTTTAAGAATGGCGATAGAGTTTGAAAAAATAAAAAAATCAAGAAATTGATGTTTTGATGAATGCATTTTTATAAGAGAAACACTTGTCCGCAAATGGACAGGAATTCCTTCAATTCGCAGCATATCCTGGCCCGGGGATAGTGGAGAGATAAATCACGGTAGTTCAGTATCGTCCCCACAAAGAACCCGTCACATTAGGTGTAATTCTCACACTCCAATTGTCAAGACTTAATCTTATGTCTTTGCCTACAATCTAAGACACAGGAACCATTTGAGAGGCTTTTATAAGAGAAACACTAACCACTATACTTGGGGGCAAATTATACTGTGGACTGCGGTCCACAATGAATTGTGGTCCAGACATCAAATATATATTGTACATTCATTTCAACACAATTATAGTATCATTTTGATATAACTACAGTTTCGCTGGACAATATACACTCAAATATGTGAAATTGTTATTCAGTTTCATTTTGTAAACACTGCAGTTTCATTTTAACACAACTACAGTTTCATTTCAATTCAATTGCAGTTTCATTTGATAATATAAAAATAATACGTGAGACAGTATCAATTTAGATATACTATAGTGTCTGTCGTTTTTGGATTATATTCCACAAAGTTTTGTGGACCATGATACTTGGGGGCATTTGTTAAAAGTTACTATTTCAAGCATTTTATATTTATTTTAGACAACTCGTTAATTGTGTGACAAAAATGTTTAGGCATGGGCTAGCCTATCCTGCAATCATTATTGTGTGGACTATATTTTCTATACTGTAAAATAAATGTACATTCAATACAAAAATAATGTATATTGTATTCAGGGAATGTATATTATTTTTGTACTGAGTGTACATTATATTGTATTATGTACATTCAATATAAAAATAATGTACATTTAGTATATTAAAAATGTACTTTTTGTTATGTTCCATATAACACTGTGTAAACCATTATCCCGCTACGCTAGTGATTCGCACTATTCATTGTTGGGTCCACTGAGCCTATGAACTATAGTGGGCTGAGCTGATTCATGCCACACAAAACTAGGCAAATTATTGTATGGACTACGATTCAAAATCACGTCGCTTAATTTTATGAGTTAGAATAATGTACATTATATGTTAGAATAATGTATATTATGTGTTAGAATAATCACTTTGTGTTAAAATAATACATTTTATGTGTTAAAATAATGTACATTATAAGTTAGAATGATGAAACTTCTGGGGCAAGATAATGTACATTATAAGATATATTGCAGCTGGTCACGTGAAAAAAAAAAAAAATTGTGTGAAACGACGGTTTTGGACCGTAGTCCACACAATAACTATTGACAAAACTATGAAGAATGTGGAACCATCTCAACTCATTAGCCTTGACGGTCATGCAAATTATACCATGGATCGGAATCCACCTTACATTGTGAATTATGGTCTAAAATAACATTTAAATTAGATGTTAGAAGTTAACATATTATGTCGCCTATAAATAAATTGAAGTCATATAATATGTTAATTATAAGCACATAATATATTAACTAAATACACATAATATATTAACGACAGACACATAATTTATTAATTGAAAGCACATAATATGTTAATTACTAACACAATTTTTAAATTTGGATGGGTCATATGCAGCCAATGTACTAGGTGGTAACCGTGGGGTCAACCGGTCAATCCATTTGACATCTCTACTATGACTTATCATTCAATTTTAGTGATTACTCAACAGGGAAAGAAAAGAATTGAAATAATAACCTTGACAACTACTCTTAAAGTACCTGTTTAGCAAAACCCTTTTTAATTAACAATTGTATAATTTAATAAAATAAGCATAATTGTAAGACTTATATAAGTAAATGGTACGGTCTTAAATCAAATATTGTATGTGTGTCACGCTTGTAATAAGTTAAGAATGATATAGACATGGGAAAATTTTCTAGCTAAATTGGTAGGATTGTTAGCTAGCTTAGCAATTATAAGGTTTCAAGTTCAACTATGTCTATTAACATAGAGTATTCGAAATTAAATAATTGAGAAACTAAATCTATATTTCGATCATAATTGAGATACTAAAGATGTCATTTTTCCTTCTGCTAATATAAATACTTTAATACTAAAACTTAAAATTCCCTCACACTTACTCGATCAGACAGTTGATTTGATAACTACAAGGTTATAAGTTTCACTCCTAACGAAGCAACCTATTGGCATTTTTTGTTTGAGCCGCTCAACTATTAGTAACTTAGGCTAATTTTTCTCTTAATAACCAATTACCGACTAGAATTCAAGACAATTTACTTAGTGTACATCCTCGAATAATGACTACGAATTTTTCTCAACCAAATGGAGTTTCATGTAAGCTTCTTTTTTTTTTTTCCACTTTGGCCTCATATATCATTACCACATTAATGGAACTGTCCTTTGGATTCCACATTCCCACAAGTGTCATTTTCACATTAAACAAGTAATTGTTGGAACCCTATAAATATGGGAGAATATTCTAGCTATGTTGGTAGGACATTTAACTTGGCAATTATAAAGTTTTAAGTTCGACTATGTCCTTTGACACAGAGTGTTTCAAATAACTGAGAAACTAAATTTATACTTTGATTGTAATTGATTTACTAAAAATGTCATTTTTCCCTACAAAAGAAAAATTCCCTCACCCTTACTCGATCAGGTTATTGACTTAGTTTGACTCCTAACAAGTGCAATCTATTGACATTCTTGGTTTGAACCGCTCAAATATTAGTAACTTAGGTTGATTTAGCTCCTAATGGTCAATTACCAACTAAGATCACAATGTAGAATTTACTCAGTGTACATCCTCGAATAGTGACTACGATTTTTTCTCAACTTAAAGAAGTTTGTAAGATTTCTTTTTTTTTTTTTCTTTTTTTTTTTTTCACTTTGGCCTCATCTATCAGGACCACAGTAATGGAACTGTCCTTTAGATTCCACACTTCCACAAGTGTCATTTTCACATTAAACAAGTAAGGGTTTTTTTATTTTTATTTTTTTGAAAACAGTAAGGGGTTATTGGAATCCTAGTTAGAGAGAAGGGATTTGTACCATTGAAGGAGAAAAAGGCATAGGCCCAAGACCCAACTTCTTGCTCTACTGCGAAATGGAAATCCAAAGACATTTGTTGCATTCTTGTCATCAAGCATTCATCAACATTCACTGCAAATTCACCCACCATACCATGACTCAACCTATATGTCACAAACATAATATAATTAATTCTTTCTTTTATACACAGGCAAACACAATACATGAAAATTGTATCATTACCGAATTTCCAACGAGCCTGGACAAGGGCGAGGTCGGGGTTATGGACTAAAAAAGGAATGGTGCGGTGGAGGAAATCAGGTTCGGGTTGAAAATCGGCATCGAAGACGACAACATAATCACATTCCCTCACATAAGAACGCTTCATCCCTTCACTCAATGCCCCTGCCTTGTACCCATTTCTGTTGCCTCTAATCTCATACTTTATGTCTATTCCATTGCTTGCCCATTTTTGGCACTCCATTTCCACCATTTCCTTGTCATTTCATATTTGGAACCAAACAAAATCTTGGTAAGGACCACAATGCACTATTATTCACTACTAGCTATTTTATATTTAATGAGGGAAAATTGCATTTTTTTACTGCTAAATTGTGCACCACCATCTATGGTTGTTTGTGTCCGCATGGCCGGGCAGCTCAATGGGTCACAGGAGTGAAGTTTGAAAACGATGAGTGACATTGTGGAAGTAACCTCTCAAAGTGAGGGACTATTTGTGCCCAGTAAACAAATGTCTAGTCTCTGTATTCAGGTTACCATGATTTATATCATTCTAGATACTCTGTCGAGCTCATGCGTTAGAGACCTTTGAAATTGGGAATTCAACCTTTTGGGAATAACAATCTATGTTTGTTTGCTTTACATATATAGTTGTCAATTGTGTCAAAATGTTACATTTTAATTCTCTATATTGCTCCTTTTAGGAATTATCGTTTAGACAATTAATTAGCATAGCACCCGATACCTTAATAGTGGGATCTGTTGAATCATCAAGAACTTGGACTATGATTCGGTCGGAAGGCCAAGAAAGTCCACATACTGCTCCAATTGAAAGCTTATACACCTGTGGAAAAAAAAAATCTTGGGGTTAGTTTGTTATAACTGATAACTAAATGGAGTAATATGCAAATTGCTTATGAATTATTTACCCTTGACTAGTTGGCTAGCTTTATGATAACTTTATGACTTGCAACAACAATCACGTCAAGTAGTACGAGTATTATTGACAACTTTTACTTTACCTCTGACATATATTTAATAAAATTTGAGTAGTTCTTCGTGTACACTTAATTTCTACTCTCATTTTATACTCTCTATAATTTGACATGTTTTGATTGCTCAATTTTTTAATAAAGGGTCATGATGTTCATCCATTTATTTTTTTCTTCCTCCAATCAAATTTGAACACAAGTGGAACTAAAAATTAGAGTAAAGTTTTGCGAGTACATCAAGTATTTTTCATCAATTTCTCACCAGAGTAAAAACCATTTTCGACAAAAGCGGATCAAAAAATTGACGGAAAATGGGACTGAAGGACTATTTTTGCAAAAATAAAAATAAAAAATTATCGTCGACCAAGATTGCAAAGTTTGAAACTTGTAGAGAAAACCTGAAAGTGTCATAGTCCGGACCAAAAATGGGAAAAACTCCGGACAAATGATGAAAAATCTTCAATATAATATAAGTTGGTATATGTGCCTTTTATACGTGGAAAAAACATACAGTGTCAATCAATATCTGTGTCTCTTATTCTACATACAACTCAAAAAGTTTTTAGAATTATATTGTACGAGATGCAATAATGACATTGTGGTGACAAAGTCTCCATTATATCTCGTACAAATCTGAAAATGTTGTTAATGTACTTTTTTATTGTACCTAATGCAAGAGAAATTAGTGACAATGTCTCCATTATATCTGGTACAAACCTAAAAGCTTTTTCATAATTTTATATTAACATATGAAAAAGGTTTATTGAGCTCATAATTGATAATTGAATGGACAAATTTGCAAATTGCTCCTAACGAGTAGAGGCTATGAAGTTATTGTGGTTTTAATTATTTGGCCTTGGCTCCTCATCAAGTCAAATTAAGTCGGCTGGTTGATTTTGTTATAAGATACAACCAACATAATAATGACAAATATTATAAACATTATGGGAAAATTTTATGTACTATAGATGATTATGAGATCTTGTTGACGAGATTTAATTTTTTTTTTTTTGAAAATGACGAGATTTAATTTAATAGTTGAAAAATTTATATTTTGTCTTGATCTCTTAATTATGAAACTCTACTCATTTTACACTATAAGAAAATTTGTCTTTACTAATAGAAAAATTTGTAAGTAAATTATCAATATGCATAGCTATTTAATTTATCAATGGATTTTCATTAAAAAAAAAAAAAAACTAAAATTTGCAAACATTTAATATTTTATTATTTTCTTGTAGTTTTGTCATTATATTTTATCCATGATAAGATACAATTTTAACTTTACAAAAATCAATTTTACTTTCGTCCCTCAAGAAACAAAACTTAGAACCTCTATTGAGATTTGGCTCATATTAAATTCCATGTTTCGTCAAATGTTTTTACTATAGGATTGGAATTATACAATTTTTTTAACTTTAATATTAAAACTTAAGAATGCTGAAATTTAATTGAAAAATTAACAAGAGACCATTAGAGTTGTTAAAATAGAATTAGCCTGTCAAACTAGTCCGTCCTGTCTCGCCAAAAGGATGGTGCCGACTTTGAGATTTTAGATTCATTATATTGGTGGGATTTTTAGCCCCGCTCGTCTAACCCGCAAGCTTGGTGGGCCAACGGCAGCCCACCAAAGTACCAAATTAAAAATAAAAATTTATTAAAATAAATAAATGTTACAAATTTACAAAACAAAACCCTAAGATAAATCTCTAAATTTCTTTATCTTTCGATTATCTTTATTTAAAATTTAGAGCTTAGACTATCTAAAATGATTTTATCATTTATATATATATTTTTGACAAATTATAAATTTACAAAAATTACAAATTTAAAATTTTGACAACTCCCATCTAACCCCGCTAGCCTAAGACATGGCTGGACAGACCGGTCTCCCTTAGGCCTGTATTATTAACAGACCTTTTTAATCCATCCCGCCATAGAGCAGACTTTGACCGGCCCTGCATTGACAACTCTAGAAAATACCATGATTCCCCACTTGAATTTCCTCATAGGATGAAGAAGAAATTCCCCCCCTTCACCCCTCCCCCATTAAGATGGGAACGGTAGGTATATATATATATATATACTTACTTATGTCATATTCAAGTAATACAACAAACATTATAGAATTTTCCAAATATTATGGAGTAGCTAGTACATACCTCTCTCTCATTATACATGGGGATTTGAACAAGAACCATGGGGAAAGAACCATTCCCGAGCTCCGCATCCTCCTCCAATGGCTCCCATTTGAACCGCTTCTCCGGCGTCCTGCTAAACATCTTCACCACGCCTATCACCACCCCCATATAAACCCACTCCACGAACAGCAAAAGCGTCATCGACATGCACACATACACAGCAACGTTAAGAATTGGAGCCACCACTGGCACTTTCAAGGCTTTAATCTGACGCCATATCAGCACCAATTGCTCAGAAACATGCCCCCCGGCGCCGGAAAACGCTCCGGCGAGATTCATCGTCGGCGTCAGTAGGGGAGAGACTATATATGGCGACAAGTTTTAACTCAGTAAAGAGAGAGAGAGAGAGAGCACAGGACAGGAGAGATAAGGGGGAGGAATAATGGGAGGATGAAGAGAAAGAGAGAAACACTATTGTCTTTTGCTTATTGGTTTGTGTTGATTTGGTTTTTATTTTATTATTATATATCCTTTGACATTTATTACAATGACCAACATCCATTTAACTCATTCGGGGTGGGTTTGGTCAGGGCCGGATTTTAGGTTTGTGTGGCCCTGTTCTGGTAAATAACTGAGGCCCTTCAAAATCTAAATTTTTAAAAGTAAGATATAGGAGTTTCGAACTTTTGACCTCCAAGTTAAAATACAATATATACACATTTATACCATCTCTTCATAGAACCTTTTTAAATTTATTGTAAACTTTTAATTTTTATTTCTAAACTACCTAGGTAAATATTAAATATTGGACCTCTAAAATTTGGGGCCCCTCTAAAATTGGGGGCCCTGTACGGTAGCCCAGCTTGCACAGCCTAAAATCCGGCCCTGGGTTTGGTGAATCAGACCTGTTTTATTATTTTTATTGTGTTGAGTATGTAATATATTGGATGTGGTGGAGTTCAGTCCCTGCTTGATTCGAGACGTGATTTACCAATTGAGGTATGTGGTTAAATGGTTAATGTTTATTTACTTATTACTCATTGGTTTTAAGTATGATACGATAACCAGATAGTCAAACAACTATGTGGTTAAGTCGGGATGAATTCAGAAAATCATCTGAATGGGAGCAAAGATTAAATGACGTTATAAATGTTAATGATAACATATCAAATCGCCATAATAACGTTAAAATACAAAATACATTATAAATTACAATAGAACATTTTAAATAGATTACATGATAATTAGGGTCAAAGCAAAAAATATACATGAATACGGTGAAAATGTTAAAATATTTATGACAAAATATGAAACATAATCAATTAGATAAAATAATTTGAATAACAATATATTTATAAATACTTTTTAATTTTAATTTCTTTTAGTTAGATCTATTTTTCTAAATTAATACAAATACAATAAAGTATAATATAAACTTGTATACTATATTAATTAAATGATTCATAAAAAGTATACTAAAAGAAATGAGATTTGAACCTATGACATAAACCTTTTAACATCAAGTTTAAAGTTCAACTAACTAAGCTACTCAAACTATTAGCAAGTTTAAAGTGTAGCTGCCCCCATTACCCCCAAAGTGGCTCCGCCCCTATAGTTAAGCGTGTTTGACTTACAGCAGTCACAGAATGGGTAATCGTACCCCTGGGAAGTAAGCATGCAGCGCTGAGATCCAATAATATAAAAATATGTAATATATGTTACTCTGTATCAATTTAAATTTTTAGTAGAAATGAGATATATCATACGAAATATATTATTCAATTGATTGTATAATTTTTATTGAATTTTTTTTTTAAATTTTTATAGTTGGAATGATAAATTGTTTCAACTGTTCCAACTACAATTCATTCATACAAATCTAGAAGAATCATCCCCTCCAATGCGTCATTAATTTATTACTATTTATATCATATATATAAATCACAATTCATTTAATAACTTACTATTATTTATATCATAAATCACAATTCATTTCATCTATTATCTATCATCTATCATTATATACTAATAAAGCAAAATATTTTGTTCTTTATTGCTATAAAGGGACTTGTTCTTCTTTGCAATGATTCTTTGTTTGGGCATGGATGTGCAACGTTTTATAAATAATCAACTAATATAATAATAGTCTTTGAACCAAATATGGAAAAAAGAAATCAAATATTGTAACTTGACATTTAATTTGCATGTATTACGCCACACTTGGTTGAAGAATTTTGTACCCCTTTATAGGATTTAATTTAATGCATATTATCATATTTGTTTGTCAATTTTGCTATTCTACTATTTAATTCAATTTCTTTAGTAATTATAAAATTTCATTACATAACCTTCACTGGTCTTCTTCTACTTTTGAACAATTGAATAAAAAATAATGATGAAGAAAAAAATATAAATAAAATAAAAGATCATTGTCCATGCATTAAATACAGTGTTGTAAAAATCCCGCCTAGGCATCGATTAATCACCGCCTAGGCGCTAGGTGTTGGTCGGCCGCCTAGCGTATCACCATAATCGGTGGTCTAGGCGGCCGACTAGGCCACCTAAGTGCTGCCTAGGCCGGCTAGGTCGCCTAGTTGGCCGATTATCTATTGGTCCCTTCTTTTTTAATAACTTATTTCACTCAAAACGACATTGTTTTGAGCGAAATACTCTTAAATTGTTCAAACTAGGGATGGGCACTTCGGGTTTCGGTTCGGTTTTTTTCGGTTTCGGTTTTTCGGTTTTAAAAAAATTAAACCATTCGGTTTAAAATAGAGTTCGGTTTCGGTTTCGGTTTCGGTTTGAAAAGTTCGGTTCGGTTCGGTTCGGTTTCGGTTTCGGTATTCGGTTCGGTTTAGGTGAAAGTCTACTATTTGAACGTTTCTTTTTTTGCCTGACCGGTTGTTCAGTTGGCTCACTTGAAGTGCCACTTGAAGTGTTTTGTTGATGACAAAATGAAAAATCATTCATCTATAGTTAATATTTGAAAAATAAAAATTACTAAAACACCAAATGTTTGAACTTACAACTTGGAGTTGAGATTTGAGGACTTGAGGAGTTAAAATTATTAATTGTTATAATATTTATATACATAGAAATTTAATTAAAATATAATCAACAATTAAAGTAATTATATAATGATTTTAATAAAATGATAATTAAATAATAGGAAACAGGTATCATAGTTAATTATTTATATATATATATATATATATATATATATATATATATATATATATATATATATATATATATATGTGTGTGTGTGTGTGTGTGTGTGTGTGTGTGTGTGATAATAATGATAGAATTATGAAACTTTAGAATTAAATAGCAATGGTGTAATAACGGTATAATGATATTTTAGTCTAACAAGAATGTAGTACGGATAATTTTATTCATTATATTTGAAGTGTGCAATATTTAATGAAAAATGTATACCCTTATTAGCATACAAATGTGAATATAGACATGAATGTGGGTATAGCTTAGTGGGTAAAGCTCTTAGTTTATAATCAAATGAGTAAGGGTTCAAACCTCACCTTAAACATTTAATATAATATATATCTATTAATATAAAAAAAAAAAAAAAAAAAAAAAAAAAAAAAAAAAAACAGAAAACCGATCGGGTTAGCGGAACTGAACCGATCGGTTTCACCTAAACTAGGACCGATCGGTCTTTTGGGTAGAAACCGAACCGAAACCGGCTCGGTTTGGTTCGGTTCGGGTACCCGAACCGATTTGCCCAGCCCTAGTTCAAACTAGAGATGTTTTTTAGGTTAATATTTAATATTTTAGTATTAACTATTAAAGTACTAAATAGTTTATAATTATCAAGTCTTTAAAAAAATTAAAAAAAAATTAAACAAACTTTTAAAAAATGAAATAAAAAATACACGGGTGCCTAGGCGCCGATAAATTCCCGCCTAGGCGCCCTAGGCACTAAGCGCTCCCCGAGCGCCCGAGAAACTTTAATTTAATATATATGTGTGTGTATTCTATTCAATTGCAACTTCCTCCAACCAAATAACAGAATTGTAAATTGCATGAAATTTTGTGAGAATGGAACTACAATTCCATCGTACCAAACGTACCATTATACTTTCAAAAATAAAATACAAATAGCTAATATACAAAGCTACTTCAAGTAACCTTTAAAAAAATTTGTTGGCAACAATAAACTAATTAAACAACTATTTACCAAACACTAGCATGCATGGTTCACACAATGTTATGTGGACCATAACAAAAAGTATATTTTTAATATACTAAATGTACATTATTTTTGTACTGAATGTACATTATACAATATAGTGTACACTCAGAACAAAAATAATGTACATCCCCTGAATATAATGTACATTATTGTTGTACTGAATGTACATTATTTTTGTACTAAATGTATATTATTTTACAGTAGACAAAATATGGTCCACACAATAATGATTGCCAAACACTCATATGGGCTTCCTTAATTGCCAGCACATTGCCCCTTAATTGGGCCGACCCGATGTGAAATGAGATTAGTCTGAATACAGTATGAGCTTAAATATATCTCTTATAGTTAGGGTATACTCAGGACATCTCGTAATGTAACAAAAAAGAACCATTAACCAAACACTCATTTTAATTATTTAATATCAAGTTAAACAGCTAAAATTGGTCAAATCAACCAAAATTTAGTTAATAAAATGATTACGATAATAGTCGGATTAACGATTAGAGAATCACTAATATTTGTTGAAATAGGATAAAGGTACAATGATAAAAGCTTTTCACCAAAATCATTCACTATCTAATTAAGGTGACAATAAAACTCTTTTTTATTCATTCTTCCCAAACTTCACTCCTATGACCAGTTGAGCTGCCCATGCGAGCAACTCCTTTTTATTCATGGATTACCATGAACTTGTCGACTCAACCAACATTTAAGAATGGGATCTACCTACTAACTAATGCTATGTTTGGTAAACTTAGTTGAAAAGGTAGTTGAAAGCTAAAAAGTTATAAGCTATAAGCTGAAAACGGAAGAATTGTTAACTAGCTAATTATGCTTAAAAGTGTTTGGTAAAATTAATTTTTTGATAAGCTGATAAATGTAAAAATATTAAAAAGGAAATTTTCATAACATTTAAATGATGTGATTATTATATTATTTTTATATTATTAAACATATGAGATATATTTAATTTATAAAAAAAAAGTTATTGCTTTTATAATATATATATTAGATATATATTAAATTAAAACAAAAGAAAAACAATTTTTAAATTGGGAAAGGTAAATGATGTCATTTATTTATGAACGGACGATTGCAGTTAAAACTTTAATAAGTTGTTGAGCGGTGAAGAGTTGCGGGAGATGATAAATAAAAATATAGGAAAAAAAAATATAGGAGAAAAGAAAAGGCCAAAAAAGTTTTAATTGGGAATGGTAAAGGAAGTCATTTATTTAAAATAATAATGATGAAAAAAATTAGGAAACTACTAG